CCTTCTATCAGCAGTGGCATCAAAGTACCGTTCGTGAAAAGAAATATCATAAGAGAAGAAAGAAAATTTTGAAAGGTTGGAATTGTCCCAAGGTTGGTAGGACTATCAGTAGATTCCAAAAGATGGGCCTCAAGCCCGGAATCAGAATGGGTGGAATCGGAACTCCCGTCGAGCAAGACTGAGCCTTCACTTCAGCCCTAGGAACAATGCCTTCGGAAGTGGCAGAAAGCAGTGAGAGACCATTCCATATTCTTTTCCGATTACCCTTTATTCTACGAGGGCAAAGAATCATCGCATTCCTTATTTCCGGGAAGAGCTGTCTTGAGAGCGAATCTAGACGGATCCCTAGCTGAGTTCATAGGCAGATCGAACTTTTTAACTTTCAAGGAATGGAATCGAAGGAGAAGAAAAAAGCCTTCCTGTCAAGTACCAAGTACGAAATCCAAGTTCATTGCTTTGGCATTTCCTCTATCAATCTGTCCGAATCCAGGTCTCTCGAGCCTCACCTTAGAACCAAGCAGATTCCTTAAGAATTCGAGAAAAGCCTTATCGAAGTCCATTAAAGCATAATTCAGTAATACACAACTCAGAAATCCTGAGGGTGGTATAGCTGTAGTTGGATGGAGGGATAGGGGTATTCCATACTCAGTAACAAAAGGTAAATTAATGTATTCTCTTACATATCTTAAGATTTCCACATCATTCACAATAGATTCAAGGTTAGATAACAAACTCTCTCGATTTATACTCGAAAGGGAATTTGTTAGGTCTAATCGATATACCTTAAAGACATTCTTTCTAGAACATACTAAATCATAATAAGTAGGTAACAAATTATGATACCCCACGCAATTTGCCATGAAAACTCCCTTCATATATATATGTTTATTTAACATAAATGCCAGCGAAAGTTGAACAAGGTTGTCTTCTTCCTGTGAATAAACTTCAAATGGTTTTTTATTATTGAATCTATCCATAACATAAAGCTTGATACCCAATTCATTTTTAGAATCAATAAATGGCCTTATTCTTAGGGGAGACTGGGTGTAAGTACCATCCATTATGGACATTGTTATTTCATTCACTTTCTCTTTTGTCAAATTAGGAAAATTCTCAGATAATTCAGAGTATGATAGATGGATATAGTTAGTAAGAGTATTCAACGAAATCTCATCACTAGACTGAGATGAGCCGTTGCCGTTGCCAAATCCGTTACCGTTGCCAAATCCGTTACCGTTGCCACATCCGTCAATGGAAAGACCTGAAACATTAGAATATCTTTTGATACCTGATTTGTAAGTACTCCCTGTACTATATAAAATGAAAATAATCATAATTTTTTGTTTTTTAAAGTTAGCACTTTTAGGTGCGGAGTAGTATCCGTCGTCCAAGGCTAGTGCTTGATGCCTCTTGCGGCCTGAGGTAACCTCAGAGTCATCTTTCAGACTTTCCCCCGTTAGCCTTACCCTGGTTTATTTATTAAATAAACACTTAACACTCTCTCATTGTAGAGAGATACCGGCGAGATGGGATTTTTGTCGGGGGCCGCGTTTATTCCTAGTGCAAGGGTATTGACGAGCTGGGGTGACATCTTAGATCATGACGAGCTGGGGTGACATCTTAGATAAGATGAAATCTCTGCCCCTTAGCCTTACCCT